TGGAACTTGGGCCTGCGAAGAGATATCAGGGACATAGAGCTTGATGGTATCTCATCACTGTTATCCATTCTTGAAGGGGTGTTCCTAGAGCCAACAAAGGCAGATAGTAGAATTTGGAATCTCACCCCCTCTGGTTCTTTCACTTGTGCCTCTTTCTTTAGTGCTCTCACACATTCTTCTTCTTCTGGCTTGCCTTTCCCTATTAAAGAGGTGTGGTGTCATCCTATACCTCCTAAGGTTTGGAGTTTCTGTTGGGAAGCCTTTTTGGAAAGAGTTAACACAGCAGATTTACTTCAAAGAAAAAGATCCAATAGTTGTTTTTGTCCTCACTGGTGTGTCYTCTGTAAAGCTGATGGTGAGTTTGGATATCACTTACTAATCTTCTGTCGGTTCATTAACATCATTTGGGAGTGGTGTACTTCTTTGTTTGGGTGCAGGTGGACCCCCCCTTCGAATGTGCAAAGCCTATTCACATTTATGCTATTTCGGCCAACAAAAAGGGCCAAGTTTATGTGGAGGTGTATGAGGGCTGCAGTCTGTTGGACTATTTGGGAGGARAGAAATTCRYGAATATWTACAGATAAGGAGAGAAGTTTGGAAGCAATGCTGGAGGTCATCCACATTAGGGTTATACACTGACTGAAAACCTTGGCTCTGTTCGCAGATTTCTCAGTTGATGAGCTGCAAAGAAAGTGAAAGGAGATAGCAGAACTTGCTCCAATGAGGAAGGCCTCAAATGTTTGTTGGATCCCCCCACCCCATGACTTTGTTAAACTGAACTTTGATGGCAGCAGCTTGGGCAATCCAGGGTCATCCGGAATAGGAGGAGTAATAAGAGATGAACAAGGGAATCTGTTAGCTATGTATTCTGGACCAGTTGGGGTGGGAGATTCTTTGAGAGCTGAGATCCTTGCAGCTCTTGAAGGTACAAAGAATCAAGGATATGCATATTAACAAGCTGATCATAGAAGGAGATTCTGAAGTGGTGGTAAACTGGCTGAAAGAGGATAGTCTTAGACTTTGGAATTACAGTAATGAAAAGAGGAAATTCAAGTGGCTGACTAAGGACATGGAAATCCAATACAAATGGGT